AGGGCTAAAGGTGAAGGGAAAGTGGGAAGGGTAGGGGAAAGGGAATAAGGGAAAAGAAAAAATATGAGAAAATGAAAGAATGGAAATAAAGTGTTTGTAAATGGGGAGGGAGGGAGGGGGTGAAGGGAGGGCAGGGACAAGGGGAAAAAATGAGAACCAAGACCTGTCATGTAAAGGTACAAGATCCCAATGATGAATGTAAATATAATGTATACCTAAAATGTACCAATAAACTCAATGAGAAAAAAAAACATTGAGATAACTCTGAGTGGTATAAATTACTTCCTAACCTTGTGTTCTTTCTCTGTTGGTGACTCTTTTGGGGTGTTTTTTTTTCTACTTTTTTTTCATTATCTATCAGCCTTGTTTAATGTATTCATTCCGTCTAGATTCTTGTCTTTTTTTACTTTATCTAATTTGTCTAGGTTATTCTTGAGTACTTTCTATAATGCTGGTTTAAATCTCTTGGCTTGTTCTTTTTCATGAAATGTCCTATTTCTCCATCTATTTTAAAGGAAAGTTTTTGCCAAATATGTAACGAAGGTTGGAAGTTGTTTACTGTTAGGGATTGAAATACTTCACTTCAAATTCTTTTGGATTTTAAAGTTTATATTGAGAAGTCTGTGATTCTAATGGGTTTACCTTTATATGTAGATTTTTGCTTTTTCTCTGACAGTTTGTAAAATTCTGGAGTTCTCTCTCTCTCTCTCTCTCTCTCTCTCTTTCTCTCCTGGCACCCACCTTAAACACAATGTTTCATTGGGGAACCTTCTTTTTTGTTGTAATTTTTGATGAATTGTTTTCTCATATTATGATTTCTATAATAAATGTACTATTCTATGTGTGCTATATTCCAGTTTCTCTCTAACTACAACTAGCCTTATATTCATCTTCTTAGTGTGGTCTAATAGCTGTTGAGTAAATTTTCCAGTTATCTTCTTTGAGTAATTTGTCATAAACTACCATATTGTCCTGAATTTTAGAAATGCTTTCTTTGCATCAGTCATTTCTGTGATATAAGACTTCTATAACATTTATTCTATATCTGGTATTCCTGTCTGATACCTTTTCATAGATTCTATATGTTTGGTAAATTTGTCATTTGAATTTTGAACTCTTTTGGTCAGCTCTTTTAATAATTAATTTTTTATTTGTTTCCCCCCAATCTACACTGATCATGCCATTTAATAATTCCATATACTTTTGGGTTATGTCCTCTTTCAACTCACCAAGTTTCTCTAACTCTTCTTTACTCAGTGTGAAAGGCTCCACTACCTGGATGTTCCTTTCCTCTTCATTAGTGGAAATGCTTCATGAGAGTTGAGATAATTTGTGCATCTTTTGTTGTCTTGTTTTCCCCATCTTTCTGTGTGCATGTACATTTGCTTTTTGTTTTCTTTGTTTTTATCTCTTTTTTTTCTTTTTTGGTGCTGATGGTTAAAATCAAGTAAGATGAGGAAAGCTTGTACTTTAAATGAAGATCTGCCTTCTTACGATGTGTTTTCAGCTTTATTTGCACAAAGATAGTCGTTATCCCTTCAGTTATTCAAGTGATAGACTCCATCCCTGGGTTTTGAGGAAAGACCTATTTCTAGTTATAACAGCATCAACAGGGCTGATCATATATTGCTTATACATGATAGACCTTTCATTTACACTTTCACCCTTTACCAGTACTCTTTGCAGCCTATAGTCAATTATTAGTAGTAGTGGAAGGAGACAAGGAGGGAACAGATTGGGTGATTTGTCAAATAGGCATGTAAGTCAGTAAGGGAGAGGTTGGTGGGGAAATAGTAATAGTTTTATAAAAGTAAATTTAGGGTCAGATTTTATTGGTGATCTTCTAGTTGGATTGAAGGGTTAAGTATTGAGTGTTTGAAGAAAATAATTGTGGGGCCAAGGGTGGGATATAGGAGGAGAAGGACTGCGGAAACCTACCAGGATGCTTACTGTACAAGCATAACAACATGTTGATATATGTGTGCTCCTGTAAAGTGAAAAATAGACAAAGTAAGATAAGGAAGACTAAAAAGAGTACAATAGAGAGGACAGAAAGCTAATACATGAAAAGACAGGGGTGATTGAGAGAGCAGAATATAGTGAATTAAGAGAGAAATAATTTAATTTAAAGTGGGTGAAACAAGTGGAAAATAAGAAAACAGTATTGATACAGGGGCTTGAGTTGAAGAAACTAGATAGATTAAAAGAAGGAGAGAGTAAACACCAATTAATCAAAGCAAAATAAAAAAATTTAAACCCAAAATACAAAAAATATCCGGTGGGACCTCTGATCAAATACTCCAACAAGAAGTTGTACAAATGATTCACATATGTCTGCTTTGCCACAAAGCCTGAGTGTTCACACAGTGCCCTCCTGCTTTGGTTGCAAACAGCTTGCAGACAGCCACTCCACTTTCCCCTATTTCCCCTGCACTCACAACACAAGCAAACCCGGTGTTATGGATGCTCTCTGCCTGGTGGGCAGGAGGAATTTGACACTGACCCTGGACTTGGTTTAGAACTTTCCCCCTAAGCCCAGGAATGATGATGGTATCTATGTGCAAGTTTACTTTTAGGTGTAGGACAGGAGCCCTCTCTGTCTGGAGTCCTCAGGTTTTTATAGAAACATTCACATGTCAGCAGAGGTCAGAAGGACAGGTACTGCTGGCATGGAACCAAGGGAATGAGTGGGTGATTCACTCTCCATAGGAGCGTGCAGATGAAACCGCAGGCCCTATAAGGCCATTTATGCTCTCTCTACCCGGGCAGGCAGGGTGCTTCTCCCGCCATGAGCTCTAGTGAGGCTGCCAGGCTGCAGTGTTCCTGGTGTTTGGAGCTGCAGTGGAGGGACAGCTGGGCTGGTGTACACAGTCTGACTCAGGACAGCAGCCCCTGCACTACCCAACCATTCTCTCATTTCCAATGTTCTGGTTCAGGCGGACAGATCCTCCCCACAGGTTACCTGTGCTTTTGGTAAGATCTCTCTGAGCACCTCTGAGATGCTGCCTGCTCTAGTCAGCAGGTTGGAGCGCTCCTAACAAACTTTTTTTGAGCAATTGTATTCATTACTGTGAAACAGGCTTCAAATTTGTGAAAATTGCAAGCATTCCTTACCCTCACAGAGTTCTTGCCCTTTCATTCTCTGGCACTGCAGGTTCATTAATTTTTTACCAAGTAAGTTTCTATTCAAAGGTTTCACCAACAATAATAAAAGTTCACCATCTGGTCCCTATTTTTCTTATCTTTTTTTCAAATGATCATCCTAGTTGCCCCAGTCTTTGACCTAGCCACCGTAAGCTACTTAAACTTTCACTCTCTCATTCTGTCTAAAACACACATGCACTTTACAACACCGGGAGAAGTTTTAAATTTTGATGCCCAAGCTGCAACCTGGACAAATAATGTCAGAAACTCAAAAGAAGATCTGACACATCAGTTAAGGTTTGACACCCCTCCCCGCAGTAATTTCAATGAGTGTTCAAAGTTGAGATGCTTATCTTACTTTTCACCTCCCTTCTTTGTTACCTCATTTTACACTCATTCAGCAAAATACAGCCCAGCCATTCTTTCTTCTTGTGAAGTTTTTCCTGGACTTCCATACTGGTTTAGGAGCAAAGATTTGTTGTCTACGGCCTCAGAACAAACTTAACAGCTTAAAATGACAGTATTTAATAATTCACAGTCCTATAAGTCAAAAGTCCAACACAGCATAACTGGATCTTCTGCTCAAGGTCTCACAAGCCTGAAATCAAGATGTCAACTTTCTATGTCTTCATCTGGAATCTCAACTACAGTGAGGTCCATTTCCAGGTGTCCTTAGTGTATTTGCAGAACTCATTTCCTTTAGTGATAGGAACACTTTCTCTGTTGTCTTGTTAGCTGCCAGAGGCACTGCTTGCTGTTGGCTTTAAGAAACTGATGTCAGATTATTTACACCAGGGAAACTATTCGGTATTTACACATGTGTGACTTATTTATTTCACTTAGGAGTATATCTTCAATATGTATCCATTTTCCTATGAATGAATCTATTTTCTCGTTCTTTATGGCTGAGTAATATTCCATTTTATAGAAAAACCACAACTTCTTTATCCAGTTTCCAATGGATGGGCAAATAGGCTGTTTCCAAGATTTAGCTATTACAAACTGTGCTGCTATAAACATGGGTGCACTGTAATATGATTCTTTTAGTTCTCTTGGAAAGATACCCAGCAGAGGGATGGCTGGGTCAAATGGAACCTCCAGTCTAAGCTCTTTGAGGTATCTCCATATTGATTTCCATAGTGGTTGCACTAGTCTGCACTCCCAGCAACAATGGAGGAGGGTTCCTTTCTCCCCACAACCCCACCAATATTTGTTATTGTGTGATTTCAATGCATAAGATTCTAATAAGATTACTGACATTTAGAAATGGGAAGAAAGGAGCTAAAGGTGTAGGGAAGGTGGGATGGGTAAGAGTAAAAAGGGAAAAGAAAAAAATGTGAGAGAATGAAAAGATGAAAATAAAGTGTTTGTAGATGGGGAGGGGAGGAGGGGGTGAAGGGAAGGCAGAGGTAAGGGGAAAAAATGAGAATCAAGACTTGTCATGTACAGGTACAAGATCCCAACAATGAATGTAACTGTACTGTATCCCTAAAATGTACCAATAAACTCAATTAAAACTGAAAAAAAAAAAAGAAAGAAACTGATGTCAGGTGCTTTCTCTGCCCAGACCCTCTCCCAGCTCCAGGGCCTCTGACTCCAGGAAGGACTAAGCCCCTATGGCAGTGGTGGTGAACCTGCAGCACACGTGTCACAGTGGTTTGTTTGTTATCACTGAAAGCTCTAGAAGGTTCACCACCATTGCCCTATGGGCTCCTCTGGTAATATTAGATCCCACCTGGATTATCTGTCCTTCCTTCAAATGATTGGTAACTTTCCATAACAGTGATATCCCGTGATGTTTAGCAATTCTATCCACACTCAAAAGTTAGGGCTTATAGAAGATGTGTGTATCATACCTTTAAAATCTTGGAAGCCATCTTCCTGTGTACTCCTTTTATGACACATAAAGCACCTCTTCTCCCCATAGAATTTACCACAAGGTGTTTGTTCCTATTTCCCTTTCTGACTTCCACCATACACTGAATCCTAGGAGGGCAGAGACTGTGTCATATTCATATTGTCTTCTCAACACATAACAAAAAGCTTGGAATAAGGTCCCAGGTTTTACCAAGAGCTTACCAAGTATGATGCCATGAATATTCATAAATTAGATCCTTTGCATATTAGAAAATAGAGCAAGCACAAATTTGGAAAAAAGCCTGATCTAAGGTCTTAGGAAAGATGCAATGAAGTCAGTAATTTCAAAAAATAAAGAATAAGTGACTTCAAAAGCACACTAATAAACATAACAGTATCTTTCACTTTGGAAATCTTTAATTAATTTCATTGTTTATAAAATCATTGTCTCAAATTATGTATGAATTGTTCTTCATACTTTATCTACTTTGAAACTAAAGAGTCCTTTTCCATTTTGCATCCTTGTTTTGATGGTTGAGAAATTAGTTTTCCTTCTACTAGCCAACATGCCAAATACATCATTCATATGGTGCACAATATACATACAAATTAACAGTAATTAATTTATCTTTGTATTATAGTCATAAGGTTAACCATGTAATGCATCTCTTCTGCCTGAAAGTGCTTAGCACAATGAAAAAGGAGACTTTGGCACTTATACTACCATTCCAGCACTCCCTAAACCTTGGCTTTCAACAAGTGACTTAGTGAATGTTCACTATCCTCAGTTTTTTTCATCCTCAAAATGGAGATGGCAATTCCTTTTTAAATGTGTATGGAAAGAGTAAGTTATGAGGAGAAGCTGGTACAGAATAAATAGTGATAATTTGATAAAATTCCAACAATTCACTTTATTGTTATTTTGCCCCATATTGAAAGACCCAGTGAAGGGAAAAGTAAAGTATATTTACCCTGCTGCTTATAGGAGCTAGTTGAGGGAATTTCTATCTAAGCACAAATTTAATCTGATCTGTAGTAAAATAGAATTGCAGAGGCAGAACTTATTCACCAGTACACTGACAACATCTAAAAAGCAGGATAATGAGAAAAACTAACTAAACTACTTTTTATAAACTTAAATGGGAGAAATTGTTCTCTACTGCATTCTACTATGAAAATCTTATTTTTTAAAGTGAAGTATTCAAAAATTACACATATATGATGGCTTATCTCAATGTAATCTAGCCATAATTCATGCATGCAATAGCTATTTTACATATCTGTGAGTGTGCATTTCAATGTATATGTTTGTACAGGACTCTTACACTACAGGAAAAAAACAAAAGATATATTTTCTGTCTTGGCTCTCCAGAGTTCACATGCTAGACCTGAATGCTCTATATGATATTTCTCTCTATATATTTCTCTCTCTCCTCTCCTCTCGTGCTCTCTCTCTCTCTCTCCTTTACTCTTTCTGTCTTTCTCTCTCTCTCTGTTTCTGTCTCTTTGTCTATCTGACACCCTGCAATGATGCTAACTTTGTTCTCATAGTAAGTAGGGAAATTTTTAAGGAAGAAAAACCAGTTATGCTCTTTCCCATGGCACCCATCCACTGACACAAGAGTATCATTTTAAGGGAAGGTATGGTCCTGAAATTCTGGACATGAACAGGTAGCCGAGACTAGAGGCAGGCCTAGAAGTGATAGGAAAAGAAAGCAAGAAGTAGCCACACTTGTATCTATTTTTTCCATTCAGTTTATCAGTACATTTTAGGTATATAGTACAGTTACATTCATCATTGGGATCTTGTACCTTCACATGACAGATCTTGGTTCTTATTTTTCCCCACACCCCTGCCCTTCCTTCATCCCCTCCACCCTTCCCTATTTACAAAGACTTTGTTTCCTTTTGTTTGTTTGTTTTTTTTTTTGCTTTGCTCATATTTATTCTTTTCCCTTCTTACATTTTCCATACCCCTCCCACTTTCCCTGTTTCTTTATACCTTTTCTTCCTATTTCACAATATCAATTATACATTTTGATCCTTATTTACACTTTCAGTTTTTAAAACCAGAGAAACTATTCATGTAAACTATTTATACGTGTATGTTCTACATGGGAATTTCATAGCAGTGTATGCCCACACTTGGAAAACAGAATGAGTTCAAATACACAACCTAATGATGAATCCTAAGCTCCTAGAAAAGGAAGAGTAGGACAAACCAAAGCTCATACAAGGGCGAAAATTATAATTTGTATCTATTCTTGGTTTGTTTGTTTGTTTGTTTTTTCTCAGCTACATTGTAGACTTTCAAGAGGAGGCAAATAGGATACCTCTTCTTTTGATCATTGATTTAAGAGATAATTTATTTACTTTCCTCAGTGAAGTGAAATTGTTTAAATGGATGGGCTAAAACTCTGTGACTCTGCCTCATGATAAACCAAAATGCCTGTTCTAATGCTTCATAGACTTTGCAGAAAGACAACTTTGGATGCAAAGCCTGATTTGCTAGAGAAGCAGAGTCTCTATGAGGAATACAGATATGTCAGATGCTCTAGAAGCAAGTTGAGGGGTACAGAATATAAAATATCTGTCCAAGTGTCCTAGTTAGCCATTCTCGAAGACTTTCTTGGTACAGAACCCCAGGTACACATACGCACACAAGGTGCACTTGCAAACACACATGCCCAATAAGAACAGAAATAAAGAACTGCTACTGTGAATTAGATAATTTAGCAAATGTCTTGACTTTTTTAGGCTACCATATCTTCAACTAGAACAATGTTAATAACCCCCTAGTGATCCAATTAAAAAGAGAATGAATACACTATGCAAAAACCAAACCAAAACAGAAGCTTCTTTAGCCACTGGGATCTGACCCCATGGGAAATACACTTCCTGAATACATACACTGTTTCTATCAATACCCTGACTTTGAAATAATTCAACATAATATATCACACACTATATGGGCATCTGAAGCACACATAAACATATTAATATATAAGCATGCTCTTCACATGTGAGGATGAAACTACTCACACAGACTGATCCTGGTGTGTGCAGATGTCACATGAAAAGGGCCACTGAGAGGCCAAGCCTCCTGTCCTTGTGAAAACAACATTCTTTCATCTGCAGACGCAGCTGCTACTTTCCAATGCCTAAAAGAGACAGGACTATCCAGAGACAAAGCTACCGCCAAACCTCTGCTCCAGGATTTAGAGTCTCAAAAAAGAATCTTTACCCTATTGAAAAGATATTCGGGGAGATAATGGATCAGAAGAAAACTCTGTTTATGCAGCTTTTGAGGTAAAACAATCATTTGAGTCTTGTCATAAGTAATGCAAAAAAAAAGTTTATCCTTATAAACAGATAAATAAGTTTTAAATTATTTTACTAGTGATCAAATAGCTAAAGTCTAAGGAATTATGTTGCTGTGTTGTTTCTTTTTAAGGAGATGAAAAATCTGTGATCTAATCTGAAAACATTTAGGGATAAATTTTAGATTCCAACTCACTGAATATATCTAAAGTTTATTATAACTCCAAAGTTTCCAGTTTAAATTGGCTTCTTCCCAGAGATTGGAGTGTGTAAATTGCATAGAAATGGAGAAAGGGGCATTGATTCTCACTAAGAATGAGCTCAATTTCGAAGGAACTAGTTCAAAACTTGAATTATTCTATCTAATAGAAGTTACCTACCACAGAAAGATAGTGTGAAGTGTGACAATTGCAGGTCATGTGTACCCTCTGTCAAAATATTTCTGATTCTTTCTGCTAAACAGCCATTTTTGGTCTCATCTATGTTCCTGTTTTATGAAAGAACTGTTTTCCCTCCACTTTAAAATAAAAAAGTTAAAAATATCAAGAATGTTTTCAGATCAGCACACTGAACCAATTTTTTTAAATTCTACTTTCACTTTTTTTAAATACAGAGACTAACCAAAAGTATTAACCTGCTTGTCTGATGCATATTTAATGGATATTCAGTCTGTCCATTTTTTGAAACCAAATAAATACACTTTATAGAGTAATGTATACATATAAAACTGGCTCTTTATGATCAACAGTTTTGGAAATTATTTTTTAAACAAGGAAGAAAGCCTTGAAATAGTTAAATGCTTGCTACCAAATCATTAAAGCATCTAATATTAAGGATTATCATTGGTTTATTGAAAGAATAATAAGTGAAATTTGGAAAAACAAAAGGCTGGTCTAATCTATTTTACCAAACTTTAAAATGTTTTATAAATTTACCATAATAAAAACAGCTTGATATTTCTACTGTTTCTTTTCTTTTCTTTTTAATAACTTCAATTTGTAGTTGGAATCTACATTTTCTATTCTCTGTGTCTATTGCCTGTTTCTCAGTTTCATTGTTTATTACTGCAGCTCTCCCTCTTTAAAATAAAAATCTTTTGGCAACCTAATAAGAAGAGTGTTGGCTACTTCTGAAGTTGCACAGTCTCACCGATTACCTTTCCTTCCACCACTGTAGAGCTAACCCTTGCTGTTCGTAAGGTAATGCAATGTGCCCAAAGTTCTAAATACTGTAAACAAGTCATGTGAAATATCAAAAGTGTCTTAGTAGTGAATTAATAACTCGTAAGTATCAACCAGAAAATGCAGTTCCCCCTTGATTTAGCAGCAAGACAAGAGTTGTCATGAGGGTAGACCAGTCATGATGTGCTGTCCCAGACAGCTAGTTAGCCCTCCCTCATCTCTTATAATTAAACACGCAACATCTATGTCATATCCAGATCTTCATATGAGACAATGAAATGTGATGACTGGGAAGTCCCCACATTCAGCGCATTGTCATCATCAAAGGCTTGTGGTCCACACCCAGCTTTCATCTCCATGCTTTTGTGTATGCTGTTCCTTCTGTCTGAAGCAGCATCCTCTGCCTTCCCTATCACCCTACTGCTACAGCCATCTACATATTGCTTAAACTTCTTTCCAATGATAATTCATTCAATCATTTGAATGTATTGCACAATCTTTGGACTCCATGCAGGTGGAACTTTCTTCAAGTGTGTTCCTATCTCTCAAACATTAAGTAGTTACATCAACTATCATTCCTCTTCTTGGTACACTATGCTCAAGTATACTGCAGTCCTTAT